ATAATAATTTGATTATTAGATTTCATTAAGACTGAGTTTCTCTGCAGGTTCACCTACCTAATGTGAAAGTTCACGCTTGCTTTGCTCCAGTAACACCACCTCCTTCTGCAGGAGGCAGTCGACAGCAACTCTGCCACTGCTGCATTATCCTTTAAGAGGTGAAGAGCACGCTGAGGATGCTTGGTCAGAAAAATGGCATCCAATGTTTATTAATTTGCAGGAGAGTTTAAAATTCTAATTCTGTGTTGATTCCTGCGCAGAATTTAAAAGTAACCTTGATGTTGATTTGGAACAATATTGACGTTTTGGCATTGCATTAGCAGAAATGCTAATATGCAGATATCCAATAATTCTGCTGACTGAAGATAATAAATGCCAACAGACCCACTTGAGTGAAGGGACATCTTCAAGTATCATGTTATGTTTACCTGTGGGTAAAACAACCCAGTTTTGGGGTTCATATGATATACTGATAACATGGGCTGGGATTGTACAACAAGCAAGACTAAAATGTGGCTGCCTGGTTTTTTGTGAATATAGAGTGAATACAGTTGTTTCTCAAGGTCAAATATAAGGACATTTTTCTTCAAGAATTGTAAAAGGATTTTTTAAATGCTAAATAGAAAAGGTATATTTATCTTTCCTGAAAAAGTATTTAAGTGGAGAGTAAAAGCAACTTTGGGATAAGGTGGCGCAGTTTATACGACCTCTAATGATATTGAGTTGGAGGAAAGGGTCATTTTTTACCTTTATTTTAACAACATAATCTTCTAAAGCCAGAGTCATAAATTGGATATTTAAGCAATGTGGTCTGAGGTGTTTGGGGATCATATGTAGCTTATTATTGGTCTTATAATAGAATATAATTTTTTAAAATCCAGTGCTGTAGATAGGAACACAAAAACCTTAAACAGTAAGATGTCTAAGTCAACTAAGTAGGAATATTTCAAGTACTTTAAAATTTGAATCATATCAGTGTAAACAAACTTTTAGAAATATCAAAGTCTGGAATTTTCAAATGGTTGGGAAAAGTATTTTGAATTTGTCATACTTAAATTAGAGCAGATGTCATACTCTCCAATGCACTTCATGGCATTCTTTTGTTTCAACAAAGGCACTTCCTGTAATTGTTTCTAATGTTCTCCCATGCTAAGGGAGAGGACAACAGACTTCATGTATGTAAAGACAAGTGTCTGGCATGAACCATATACATTTTTAGTTATACAGTATCTTTTCCAGCGAAGAAGAGAAAGTCACAAAAGAGATGCAGCAGCACTGTGGGTATAATGTCCAACCCTCTCCCACAGTTGGCCATCACTCATATATTGCATTTCACAAGATACATTAGCTAGAAATATAAACATAAGTATGTATATTAGCAGTGTTAAAGTCTAGTACTAAGATATAGCTGGGTGGTAGATCAGTTCAGACTTGTGTATCCCCTACCCCATGTACAAGGATTGAATGAAAAGTAATGCCTCTACCTCTATAACTGTATGTATGTATATATGTGTATGTATATATATATATATATATTTAATCCGCACTCAATCATGACCGATTCTGCGGTGACTGCCTGGATGAGTCCCTGCAGTTTTCATGGCAAGATGTTTCAGAAGTGGTTTGCCATTGCCCCCTTCCTAGAGCAGAGCTCAGCTGGCGGGCACAGGAAGGCAAAGTTTCCATTGCTTCATTTCTTTTTCGGAAGTACGCAACTTCCACGTTGTTGGCAACTGGTCCCATCTCCTGTACAAGGTGCCACCGGGATTTTTCCTCCCACTGGGGTGAGAGTACCCATTTATCTACTCACGGTTGCTTTTGAGCTGCTAGGTTGGCAGAAGCTAGGGATGAGACAGGAGCTCACTTTGCCGCATGGAGCTGGGCTCGAACCGCTGAAGTGTCGACCATTTCTGGCCGGCAACTTCCAGCGTCATTAAACCGCTGCGTCACCGTGTCCCCATAACTGTAAATAGGGATATTTTAATAAATGGAACAG